AACTACCAGTTAAGAGAAAAATTTTGTAGCAAGTTAACTTGTAGGATAAGAATTAATAATTGATTAGCTTTATATTTTTAAAGAAAAAACTGAGTTTGAATTATCAGGATTGTATGTTGTCAGAAATGAAAATGACAAAATGATATCTTTCGATCTTCATTATTGGTTTGATAAAATGCTTTCTTTAGCTAACTCATTCTTTTCTAACTCTCTGATCTGTGCTAATCCAGAAGTATTTTACATGCAATACAGTATCTTGGTTAAAATAGTTGTTTTCGGTTTATTAAGTCTTAATGAGGAATGCTTGAAACTTTTGAAACAAAGACCATTATTTTACTACCAACGTCGATCTTTTGTTGGCAGGCTCTTTTAAATTAGCTGGTGAAAATAATTCCACATCTAGTCTACGTAACAATAATAAATTAGTTTATTTCCTCCTTTAATGTTCCTACCAGCTTGATCATTTGTACGCTGTAGTCAATTGTTGTAGGCCTACGTTACAAATGAAGTTCAAATTTCTCTAACAATACTAGAATTAACAAAATAATCCACTTACTTCGACATAGTACCCAGTAAGCACAATAGGAAGCACAGATATAAATATTTCAAACACATTGATTTATTCAATTTTCTATCTTGAAAAATTCTATACATTTTACAAGTACCTCGTATTTATAATCCAGCTTCAAATGTACAAGAGAAATTTGGTGTTAAATTAGAATTTTCTAGGCCTATTGACCAGCATCATTAAGACCCATAGCTCCCTCTAGATGATCAACAAAGTCCATTAGAAAGATAGCTCACAACAGTGTCATTACTCAAAATTTGATATCCAAGAACACAACAACTAAGATAGTACCATTAATTGTTACAAATATACACAACTGATAATTTAATCACACTGATACACACTAAATAAACACACAACTACTATTTCAACATTAGCATTTTTAGTCAAAACATGCGCTTTAGTGAATGTTGCTTCTAAAAGAAAGCAGTGAATCCCATCTTACTTCAGATGATGTTTTAATGATTTTTCAGGGTTATGAAGAACAAGCATATCCAGCTTTGGTATGACCCAGGGACTAGCGAAGGAACCACAAACTTAAAACAAGTGAGAACCCGGATGTTTGGGTATATTTCGGGTGACAATCAAGAAAGTAAGCAAAATTTTATACACCAATCGCAAAATAAATATAGAAAAAATTATATTGTAAAAAACTAATCAGGCAAAATAAAGAGAAAATACTTTGGCAGAAGATACTTCAAAAAATGGTATCAAAACTTGTGATATTAGCGAAGGAAAAATCATAAAATTTATCATTAAATTATGAAACACTATTGTAAATATTACATTTCAGTATTGCAGGTATGAAAATACTTGTTCTAATTCATAAAAGCTATATTATTCGTATGTGTGGGGGTATATATATATATAATTTGTTCTTAGGTGTCACCCTAATAAAATTATATCCCAATTCCAACATCCTTTATAATTACAGGTTATATTTTATAACCTATTTTTCTATATATACATTGTTACGTCTCCGTTTGTTAATTAACTTACCGTAACTTCGTTCCGACGAAACTTTAGCGACACTAGTCCTTACTTAATAAAACTGGTTTATTCTTTCTGAATATAACTTTACGATACACTTGATTTCAACATTCGCGCTAAAATAAACGCTATAACGAACTTCAACAATACTCTCTGACTGCAGATCAATTACTCACTACCTACACACATTGTCCCGTCACGTTGTGAGCGTCTTATATATACATATATATATCAGACTAACACTATATTTAGTAATCTCCCGACAATTCACGAAGGTTCGAGAGAACAAGTGGCGTGACACTAGTCACGTGACCTCGCTGACGCAACAATATAGTTTTCAGTTGGTTTCATGAAGATTATGCAAGAATATTTCAATGTTTATGTTACCAGTATCTTGACAGATTTAGTTTGAAAGATTTATCTTATTTGAACTGTAAGAATTGAATCATCAGTACATGAATGTCTTTTATTATTTTCTGTTTTAGTTTACTATCAATATATCAAGTGATATTAATCTATAAATAAATTACTAAAAAGAAAACAATTGTTCTATCCTGCATTTTGTGAATGTTTGATATTAACTGACGGAACACGTAAAGATGTAGCTAGTTATTAAACTTTTTGTCTGTAACTATGTTTTTAATAATAAAAAGAGGAATATTTATCCTTTATGACCTGCAACAGTAGTTTAGTTTTTAGAAAAGAAAATCAAAATGACAGTACCAGTACGAACTTTAAGAATCGGGGAATAGATGAATTTCTTGGTGCCTGCCATACACCACGACAATCCTCCACAGCCAATCAACACTCGTGTCTTTATTTACAGCGACCTCCTTGTCACTAGGTGTCAGGTATGACAGCATTTCAAGTTAACCATCTCAGTCACTAGGTTGTCAGGCTGGGCAGCATTTCAAGTTAACCATCCCAGTCGCTAGGCTGTCAGGTAGGGCAGCAGTTCAAGTTAACCATCCCAGTCGCTAGGCTGTCAGGTAGGGCAGCAGTTCAAGTTAACCATCCCAGTCGCTAGGCTGTCAGGTAGGGCAGCAGTTCAAGTTAACCATCCCTGTCGCTAGGCTGTCAGGTAGGGCAGCAGTTCAAGTTAACCATTCCAGTCGCTAGGCTGTCAGGTAGGACAGCAGTTCAAGTTAACCATCTCAGTCAGTAGGTCGTTGAGTAGGGCAGCATTTCAAGTTAACCATCTCAGTCAGTAGGTCGTTGAGTAGGGCAGCATTTCAAGTTAACCATCTCAGTCTAAGTCATTACATTT